TTTTTATTGTAAATCTTGGTTTTTGTTTTATTTATTGGTGCTACAGATATATTTAAAGATTTTCCAACTGATTTCTGCATCGGCAGATTTCATTTTCTTACCAACAATTTAACTTAAGTAAACATTAGAAACAGTACGTACTTTTTTGGGGGTATTCGTTTAGTCTTCTTTTCATGTATATGTAATGACAAATGGTTTTTTTTCCTTTCCGATTAATAAATGTTGCTTATTTATCACTTAGAAATTTTAATACCATGCATTTCATAATGTGTTTGAATTAAGGAATACAACTACTTCGCTTTGGAAATCGCTAAAACATATCCTCCAATTCACAACTTGTTTACATGCGAAATTTTCAAAGCAGAATAAATTTAAAAGCAGCAGACAATGTTTCTCATTTCAAATAGACTGTTGCTAGAATTTTTATTCCAAAGCATTTCCTTTTTTCAATTTTTTATGAAAATCGTTCTAAAATTATATAAATACCATCTGTGTCTGCAATAGGAATTTAATTTTAAATTCCTTAATTTTAACATTGTGTACAAAAAAAATTCCTTAATTATAACATTAAAGACTAAAATCTGATGTATGCATCATGTGATTTCCTTGTGCACTCTAGTAAACAATTCACTTTTATACTGCACTTCATTTGTTTCCTCGAATTATTCTAACTTAATAATTAACAGATTCCTCGAGGCAAGTTAAAAATGACATCAAAAATTGCAAATTTTGAAATTAAATATCCCTGTCAGTTTTTGTCAAAGTCAAACTTCTTGTATTTTTATTTTTTCGTAATAAGTATTAAAACTTTTCCAAGCATTGGAAACGGCAGATCGCCTTAAAATTTAAATTCTTTTATTTGTTCAAAATTATTATTATTTTTTTTTAATTTGACATTGCTCACACATGAACATTTTTCTCATTTTAAACACTTCTATAATCGAAGTAAAAGATTACTATTAACTATTGCGAAAATAAAGGCTGGGTAACTATTTTTAAACCGGGGAAATGGGTTGGTATATATACACACACACGTTTGGTGCTGCCGATAGCAAAAAGTTGGCGCACTATTAGATGTCATAGCAGTCCCACAAACAAAATTTCAACGTTTTATTCGTTGAAAAGTTGTTTTTAAGTTATGCGAAATACAAATATACATACAGACATCACGGAAAAAATCCATTTTGAAAAAAAAAAAAAAAAAAAAAATTTTTAATTTAAAAAATCTGATAGGTATCAGATTTTAAATTACGTCCAAAAGGTAGCTTATTTAACATTTTGTGTGTTACCTTAATTTATTAAATACCATGTTCTTCGCACTTAAACCATAAAATTCAGTTCAAGAGCAATATCCCAAAATAACTTTTTGTGATAATTTTTAATGAGAATATTTTTAGAATTTCCGATACACAGTCTCGTGCGGTGGAGATAATGTTTTTTTTTTTTTTCTGTACAACGTTGCCATTGCTCGCTTTGAAATCCTTGAGTTTGTTAATCAAAAATTCGTTAAAGTTTTACAATGATACCGATAATAAAACAAATTCCAAATTTCACATTTGAGCTTCCAGATGCCTATATTTGCAGGAAGATTATGTTATTCAAATTTTGATGGCTCTAGGTACCATTGTTTTATCACAGTTTGAGAAACATACATACATTTATGCAGATTCTTCACTATTTAATTTCCTTAAATATAATACAGGGCAATAATATTTGGTGGCAACAAATTGAAAAGTGAAACAACGCTTATTGTGAATCAACGCAAAACATCAAAAAGAAATTATTAGTCCTTCTGGGCAAATTGCCCCTTTGGACTGACTTATTCCATCCGTACCAACAGATCTCGCCCAAAAAATGGTCAAACTGGATTCAGGAAGAGACAAAATGAATATTTCCGTTGAAATCTGATAACCGATATTTTTATTACTTTAAGTACAAAATCTCCGTAATCTACAAAAGATTTCGCTACATAACGAAATGTGAATATTATTTTCACAATATTTAAAAAGAAAAAACTAATACCTAATATTTATTTTATATGGAATGACAGCTCTAGTTAGAAAGTAATTTCTACTGCTTGAGAGTGTTAGAGACTTAGAAGTTGGCGACAGATGCACAAGATCTAAAACATTCATCATTAAGTATGACAGTAGTTTAATACTACCAATTATAAACTGATTGCACTTTGTGGATTACGTATTTAAATTGGGTATTGAAGATTCAAGAATATTTTGTATGGACTATTAAATTCGAAGCATTTTTAATAATGCGAGTCTCTTAAATTAAACAGACCATATAAGTCGGCTTTAATCTGATGAGTTGGAACGTCAAGGTCATATTAATCATATTATTGACTTTTCAGAATCTTCCCCAAATAAAATAAGAAAAGGTTTCTTGCTGATATTTGAAATATGCAGGTAAATAATTTATTTCAGAAAACATCCCATGGATTACATGCTTTAAAGAGAACTTCTTGCTTAGAATTTCTCAGGCAAACCTGTTCCATTCAGGTCATTCATTTTATCATAGATTCTTATACAGAATGATAACACAAGTATAAATGACTGTACAATTGCATTACAATTATGGTAGTAAAACTTTGTGTTAAAAGTTCATTTTACACAACTCAGATTCAATATTGCTGATATTTGAAATATATGGGTAAATAATTTATTACAGAAGACATTCTGAGGATTACATGCTTTAAAAGGAGCTTATTACATTTTTCCCCCTTAGAATTTTTCAGGCAAAGGTTATTCATTTTACCATAGATACTTACACAGAATGATAAAATAAATGACTGTACAGTTAGTTACATTACAATTATGGTAATAAAAACTTAGAGTTTATTCTACACAATTCAGCAGGAAATACAGTAAACCCACGCCGAAGACGGGGTTACGTCATTTATATATGACGCATATGAGAAAACTGCATTTCGCACAGTTAACTTTCTATCCGAAGAATGTGTTAAGTACATTTCAGATTAAGAATACATATATTTTTTTAAATAAACCTAAATATTGAGATAATTAAAAGAAAAAACAAAGCAAATGCAATGGAAAGGGGGTTTAGTTCCATTTAATAAGAGTGCAATATAATTGTTAGCCCGAATGGGCTATTAGTCTTGAAACGCAATTCGTGTTGTTTCACATTTCGAGTCTGTTGCCAAGCGGAAAATATAAAATACTAACGGGCAAGCCCGCCAGATGGATAGGTTGCGGCCAAAATAAAAATTTCCGAGTTCTATGTACACATGAAAAGAAAATGAATAAAACCATTTCACTGTGAATGAAATCAGTTCATTCTTTCCAAGCAACAAACAATTCGCGAATAATTTTGTTGCCAAAGCAGGAAACAAAACTTTTGACACTTCAGGTATGCATATGACGTCATGATTTAAATTTAATGCAACTTTTTCTCAGTTTTTTTATTTTGTGACACTCCTGTTCATTTTGAATTAGACCAGTTGCTGTTGCATGCACAACACACATTTCTATACTTATGAATTGCTCGACTGTAAAATTTTGCTTTAGTGTTGCCTTCGGATAGCAAATTAAAATGCCCCTATTTAGGACTCGCGATCTCAATAACGATGATGAATACTGCGATTATGCAGACTCGGAATTCTCCACAAAATCTCAGCCGATCACCTCATCAAGACAAGAGGAATCTTTGAAGGTTCCCCCTGCTGCTCATAAGAAAGGCATAGGAAAAAAATTATCGACTTACAAAGCGTTATCGAATAATGAAATGAAAATGGTTCCTGAACAACAGAAGCAGAAGGAAAATACTGAACAACTGAATACAGTTATGGAAGCCACAGAGCTTAAATTGGGCTGGAGTGCAGTAGAGCCCGGATCCAGTACTTATTAGTTTTGAGATTTATAATCTCAAAACAAGGTATTTCTTAAGTTAATTCTCATGTCGTTATCGGATATTAATCAGGAAAAATTTCTGCTTGACAGCTAGAATTAACAGATCAGGAAGTCTTGGACTCTTCCCTCTTTATTTTCAAAGCTACACTTTTTCCTTAAAACTTCCATACCCTGATGCACTATTCTCCTTTCTGACGCTTTAAATAAATCGTCAGAAAACGTTGCTTTAAACAATCATTTTATCATTTTTTATTCAGCATTTTTCGATGATTTTTATATACATCATACCTTGAAATAGTACATTATATGTATAATCAAGGGCTTAAATTGAAGCGAAGATCGGCTGAGGTATTTCGTAGCTTTCGAGTGAAATTGTAATCTCAATCAGAGACCAGACAAAATAAGAGTTCTTAATATACAAGTATTTTAAATTGTAATTTATATTTTAAACGCTGTTCTTAATTTACTTGTATTTAGGTATAGGTAAATTTAATTTACAAATAAATCAGGTTTCCTTACTGAAATTCTTAATATGGATAGACAGTTCTATACTATTCCGTGCACACTGATAAACAGGATTATATAGATATGATTTATGAAAGCATATAATATATTTTGCACTTTTTGAGCCAGTGGTAGTACTGCAATAAGTTTATTTTTCAGTATCCATTATTTAACAAATATTCAGTTACAAATTTAAACAGTTCTGATTTTATCATTGTAAGCTACTGTCAAATCAATTGTCAACAATATCTAATTACTTTTACCATGTCAAGTTAATGCTGAACAAAAGTTCTGGAAAGAATTTATTTAGCCCCCCCCCCAATCTTTTTATGCACGTGTTCCACGATTCGTACACAGTTTCAGAGATAAATCAAAAGTCAATCTTTAAAGCTCCAGTTTTTTTTTTTTTTTTTTTTTTTTTTTTTTTTTTTTTACACTACATCGCTCCCAATGAATAGTATTCCACAGAAGATGGTGAAAGGAGAATTAAATGCAGATATTTTCAAGCGATATATTGCAAAGTATCTAGAAATCTTAGCAGAGTATTCATTTGCAATAATTCACAATACATTTTACACTGAATATATATTATCGGTGATAAATCTAACAAAAGCAAAATTATGAAATATATTTTTATTAACATATAAAAAGTACATTCTTTTATATTCACAACTATATTCAATTCTGTACAAGTGGATTTTTCAAATCCTATCTTTTATCAAAAGATAAAATTCTAGTAAAACTGTTTTTTTTTTTTTTTTTTTTAACAGGTTAATTGCAATAAAATGTGATAAATAAGTCTTTCATATATTCACATACATCATTATTTACATTCTGCATGATAAGTTACAGGAAATATTAGATATAAAAAATTTCTAATTCTTAGAAAGCTGCCTTCAAAAACTAAAGATTAGATTATCCAGTTTGCATTTCTGGAAAAATTTGATTACTGAATATTTACAACGGCTGGCAAATACCGATCTTGGAATATTTTCAGTGATTTCCTACAAAAACTGCATATATTTATGAATAAAAAATTAATTTTCATGCTACAAAGTGATGAACTTTCATCTCTTCAATATATGTGAAATTTTGCTTAACAACACTTGGAATGTTTAAAAATAGGCAGCATATACACTAACATCCAAACTATTTGCTGATTGAAATGCCCACGGAACTACTTTTCATCTTCTTTCCTCCAACTGGTGAAGGTGCAAGACTGGGAGTTGGCGGCTCAAGCTCCTAAAGAAATTAAGATGAACAATTCAATTTTATTTACATATTACAACAAGAAATTATATGACTATAATTTTTCTAATGCAAAAAAGAAAAGCATGAAATATGAAAAAGCATTTCTACAGGAGTAATGGCATAATCACCACAAAAATTAAACGACATTTTATAATTATAATTTGCAAAGATTATAAACTTGCCTGAGATAAGCAACAAACAAGCCATAAGACATCTCTCTTGAATAAAATTCAAGAAACCATATGCAATTCAAAATATGAAGAAAATTTAGTCATTCTATCACAGACTTGCAGATAAGATAAATATAGTGTGCAGAAAAAAATCTTAATGTGTTATAACATTTTTTTTCTATTCTTGCATACAGATGATTATTCATTTTAATAGGTCTGCATAGAAAAGTTGACTGATTAACACTTTGCATTTGAGGCCCTTTTAGCTCGATGAACCAGCAACTCAAGCCTTTTCTGGTGAAAAATTTGGTGAAACTCCTACAGCTAACTTAACAATTTCACAGAAATCTAAAGTTCTTTCATGTCTGAGGATACTTGCGGTCCTGCAGCTTTTTTGCCAGATACAAACAGTATTCTTTGCAGTATTTCTTTTGATTCTCTATACATTATCCATTCTGAATTTACTGTCTCTTCTGTGGAATTACAGTTGCTTTCACATTCATTATATCTTAACCTAATTTTTCACCTTCTTGAACTGCTCAAATTGTAACCGAGAGTCACTTCTCCAATGCAAAGAGTTAATATAGTGGGTTTGTACTTCCTAACATTTTGGTGGGTCACAAAGCACTGTATGCCAGAAGAAGTGATTTTGTGTTTCAAGTAACACAAAAATGGTATGAAATTAATTGATGTGATGGTCCTCAAATCTCACACTATAAGGAGATGAGTACAAACAATGTAAGATTTGGTTTGATTTATTTGATTATGACAAAGCATATGAGGGCTACCTGCTTAAGGGAAGAGATGCCTTCATGGAGGAATTTCCAATGGAAACTGGCTTACAGCCTCATTACACATAGGAATAATCATAAAAACATTTCCTTGAAATCGAACCCACTTACCCCACCCAATCTTAATAGCCATCTTTTCTTTTTTTGAAATTATGAAGCGAAGTGTTCAAAACCCGGCCAATAAACATGAAAGAGCTCAAGCAATAAATCTGTGAAGCAATAAACAGAATACTACAAGCAACACATGATGGCACCCTTCCAGCAGCAAATATAGCAATCTATTAGCCACTTAAACACCAAAATTGTTTTTGAATTATCTGCCAAAACCTTTTTTTTTCCTCCCAACTTTAAAAGAAACCAATATGCCTAACTATAATCCAAAAATATTTTTTCCCATAAGAACTAAATTTGGCAAAAAATATTTAAGTTAAAAAATTCATAACCCAAGTTAATTCTTAAGTTCTGTAAGATGTATACAATAACAGCATAAAACATCACTAAAGAACATGCAATGTGAAATGACTTGCATAAATAAATACTGGCACCTACCAATAACTTGAACAATATTCCTAGTGTAGTGGTGCCATTTATTGACCAGTAACTTAACTAAAGTCTATCACAAATTTTAAATAATTTGGCATTATGAGGGAAAATGATTGTTTTTTTAGCCCACAGCATAGCATAGGACATTAGTCTAAAATATTCTGCGATGTGCTAGCAAAACCTGTGAATTATTTCCATGGAGACTAACAATTATATGCCTTTGCTTGAACATAAATGAACTTGATGAAATCAATATAGTTAGGTAATCCCAATTCTCTCGGGATAAAGGAAACTGCATATAGTACATAAAACGAATTAACTCAGATTATGTTCTAAAGTGGTTAAAGAGACATGAAGAAATAATGAACTTGATGAAATCGATATAGTTAGGTAATCCCAATTCTCTCAGGATAAAGGAAACTGCACATAGTACATAAAACGAATTAACTCAGATTATGTTCTAAAGCGGTTAAAGAGACATGAAGAAATACATATTCAAAGACTATCTATAACCCACATATTTTATGTTCATATACATGAATCTTAAAGGAATTAAAAAGTATTCTGAATTCAAATATGGTCATTGTTTTTGCTACATCTTGTTTAAGTCTTGCATGCTAAGAAAGACTGTAAATAAATCTTGTGTTAATTTTAATATTGAGCGTTAAAGTCTTCACTCTATTCTTTTAATATTCTTTGAATCTGAATGTGACATTTTACCACAATCATTCAGAAATTTTTATAAAAATAAATAAATCTGAAAAGCTTCCAGATTTTATATTATACCCAAAAGGGGATTTTGTTAACAGATTGTGTGTGACCTATATTTATTAAATATCATGTTCTTTGCACTTAAAACACATAAAATTCAATTCAACAGCAATATCACAATATATTTAAAAAAAAAAACAGCATATCTTTAGAATTTCCAATACACAGTTTCGCACGATGGAGATAAAAATATTTTTTCCCATACAGTGCTTCATTGCTCTATTTAAAATTGTCGAGTTTGCCAATAAAAAAATCGTTCAAGTTTTACAAAATTTGAAATAGATAAGAAAACAAATTCAGAATTTGCATTTCCGAGTCCCCATGTTCGGTAGGAAGACTACATTATTCAAACTTTGATAGCTCTATGTACCGCTGTTTTCTCACAATGCATGAAACATTCATGGAGATTCTTCATTAAGTTTCTTTAAATATAATACATGGCGATAATATTTGGCGGCAACAGTTTGAAAAGTGAATCAATGCAATATGCAGTTTTGAAATTAATAGCCCTTTAGGCTAAACACTTCCATATCTCCCATTGTACTGGGCTAATTGAGGAAATTTAACCTGTTTAATTTTCCCTGTGTCGAAAGTGTGACTTAGGATACATATATAGCGTTGCTCTATCATAAGTATACTGACACAAAATCAGAATTTTTCTGAAATGTCCTATCGGTTTTAGAAAATAGTTCAGAAACATTACGTACAATAAATAACTAAACTAATACAATTCAGGCTTAATTTTCTCACTGCGGGATAGAAGCAAGATAAAATTCAACGGAACTTACCATTAGTCGCCAAGCTCATGATGCATAGCCAAATATATAGTGAACGACAGCTAAATTTGATAATGATAGCCGCGAATTTTAAAGGTTTTCAGATGTTGCAAAACAAAGGTGAAATTTTCCAATTAACGGATTTTGTAAAGAAATGTGGAGAAGTGGCAATAAATGAAGATGATATAAAAGACGTTTTTCATTGTGATGACAATGCGTCTCTATCATCAATCAGTTAATGAATGGCGAAATCTGTAGTATGGTTCTAGATCCAGAAAATATCACTACAGATAGTGAAGAAAGTGACAGAGAAGTTGCTGAAAACGAAAAAATTTCGATTGACAAGTTAGTCAAAATGCTCGAAGCAGCAGTTGCAGGACTTCATCAAAGTAACTAAACAAGAGATTATGTCTGTCTACAGAGTTAAAGAGAAAGTTTTAGTGCAAAAAAAAGAAGCAATTTAAACAACTTGCATTGAAAGAAATGTTTAATAAGGTAAACAAATATTAAGCTTTTTTTTTTTTTTTTTTTTTTTTTTTTTTTGTAAATTTTGATACCTTTTAGATCATAAATACTTCCTTATTTCATAAATCACGATTTCATACTTTTAATTCTTTAATTTCCACATGCCATCTAACTAGATTTAAACTGATGAACTGGAAAAATTCCAAATTTGGAATCGCCAAAGTCCCAACGAGTCCGGATTTCGAACTTTGTACTGTACTAGACTTTCAAACTAATAAAGGTTCACATTGGTAAAATTACATATAAAATGATGCATATTAATGTAAATTATGCACATATAAAACTATTCAATTTTACTTTTTATGACTAGTTACTGAATAATCTTTCTTTAAACTATTTATAGTGCTAAAAGAGCATTTGATGCTAAGCAAATTGTATTTTTAATCACTGAGCTGAGGAGTGGTACAAAAGTAAACTAGATTTTTATGCATGCACTTGGAACTTTAGTAAGTACAATGCAGCTTTAGTCAGTACTGGAATTCCAATAACACAGATGTTTCTTTTGAGAACATCTACACAAATTTTCCACCTTGTTTCATGAAACAAACAAACAAATTACTTGAAACAAACAAATTACTTGTTTCATGAAACAAGGCGAAATTAGAGTTTTTGCATGGCGAGTCGCTGTTCCTCAGCAGTCTATAAGAAGGAAATAAATAAGTTTAGTCACGATTACAAGTTTGAGATTTCCAAGTCCTACTGATAGTGTACAGCAGCAAGTCTACATAATACAGTCCACTGAATACCAATGACAAAAAAAAAAAAAAAAAAAAAAAAAGAGAGAGAAAAGAGAGAGAGAGAGAGAGCAAATTACATAAACAATAAACAAGTCATACAGTCAAAAGTCTTTAATACGGACGTCCATAATCCGGAATGATCTATAATCTGGACCTCAAAGCTACAAACTTTCTGCACATGTGTCACATGCACATAATACCTTTATGCATGCGCATATGCATCTACGCATACGCATGCGTGTTTAATGTATAACGGACAGTATAAGCTAAGCTAAAATTATCTATTTCAGTTAATGTTGCAGATTGCGTTGTTCCTTAATCTTCTAATTGGTTCCGGCTTATTATTTTTTGCAGACTGTTAGAGCAATTTTATAAAAGTAAGCTTGAACTTTCGATTATGTCAAAAAGAATTTCCAATTCTAGAGCTACCAAAGGATCTATAAGCAAAAGCATGTTTCGATGTCCATCAAACAAAAAGTAGAATTGCTGCAAAAAATGGATAAAGGCTTATCCTTTGATTCTCTAACCATTCCGAAATATGTTTATCAATTTCACGCTGCTCTGCCGGGGGGGGGGGGGGGGCGTCGCAGTGCAATGAACTGGAAGTTGATTTGTCAGCACTATCCTTATCTTCAAGGCAGATGTTTTTATTTTATTCAGCTTACAATTCCTTACTAAATGTAGTAATTTCATCTCGATGTACCCCGTCTTTGATATGATTTAAATCAAATTCCTCATCATTCTAAATATCACGAATACACATCAAATAGTTTTCAGGTTGCAGTTTTCTAATTTTGACTATGCGTAATGTATGCTTTACGCATATGCGCGTTAAAGAAATGTTAAGTAAACCAATAAATATTAAGCTCTTTTTTTGTAAATTTTGATACCCTTTAGATCATAATTGTTCTTTATTTCATAAATTGTGGTTTCATATTTTTGCTTTAATAATTTCTGCATGCCAGCTTACCAGATTTACACTGATGATCTATAATCCGGAATCACCGAAGTCCTGACGAGTCCGGATTAAAGACTTTTGACTGTATAAAAAAAAACTCCTAAAAATACTTATAAGCTGTATTTAATCCTATATCCCAGGGATGGGTAAACTATGGCCTGCGGGCCAACTCCGGCCCGCCGGAAGGTTCTATCCGGCCCACAGAGAGAATTTTAATTTTTCCGTCCGAGGCAAATTAAAAGAGATATGTATTATATATCCATCTCTTTTCTATTTTGTTTAAATATTATTTATTTCTTCCTTTTTTCAAAGGACTGATGATCTTTTTACTCTCTCTATTTTTGTTCTACAAAACATAAAATGACAGAAATAGCAAGCACAGACAGCTTTTAATCCGTAAAGTGTGAGCAGCGGAAGTTCTTTGTTAGTTATAGCTATAGATTGAAGTCAACAAGCATTATCTCTTTCTCGGGGACCAGACATATAGGAATCCAATTATAGGTGAATTAGACCTCTTAGAAAGAACTTAATCTTAACTTAGTTAATCTTAATATGTTTGCTGGGCAGCTAGCTAGTCTCATTTGAGGTTAAATTCAATACCCTCAGTAATTGAAGAGAAGCTTAAGAATTATGAAGATGGCTTGAAAAAACTGCATTTTGAGTTTGAATGCAGATGTCAAGATTTCAATGCCATTCAAACAGAATTGGATTTTTTACCATGCCTTTCAACATAAACTGGGAAGCAGTGAGATCAGATTTGCAGTTTGAATCGAGTTGCAATCTGACAATCATCTCAAGTAGCTGTTTCTAAATATGCCAAAGTTAGAGTTTTACAAATCATTATCGAAAGTTTCCTGAATTTAATATTTCACGCCCAGAAAATCAGTGCTATGTTTGCTTCATCTTAGATATGTGAACAAGTGTTTTCAACCATAAACCTTAGAAAGAAGTATTTCAGAATAGATTGACACATGTGCATTTAGCTTCGTTCCTTAGAATCAGTACATCACGCCTCGAACCTCAATATAAGTAACTTTTAAAAATGAAATCGCAATTTCAGTTATCTCATTAACATAATTAAATTGTAATACTTGTATATTGTTCTTAAAATTTTAGAAAAATATCTTGGCCCGTCAAACGTTTTGTTTTCCATTTTTGGCCCACGACCGAAAATGTTTGCCCATCCCTGCTATATTCACTCTTCACCCCTTTTTTTTATTAATTTTACTGTCCAAAAATTGAGAAGAAAAAATAATACTAATTATTTCATTCCTAAAAGAAGCGTTATGGTAAGAACATAGCAAATGAAAAATAGTTATGAAATAAACTAGCAGTACCTAAAACATCTTCATTTCTACTTCTCTGTATTCTGACTCTTGCCTGTTCTTATTGTTATCTATTACTCCCTAGGCCTCAAATCATTTAATGCTGCTGGAACTGCTGTCTATGTCATCTTTTAGAGCTTGCACATCATCTTCATCCCCATTTATGTCCCCATGTACACTGGTCTTCAGAACCATTAAAGATTAGATTAACTGATTAAGGTAAAACAACTTGATCGCTATCTGCTTATGGGAAGGAATACCTTTGTTGTCTTGTATCCATGTTACACTAGGGAAAAACCATGTAAACCAACCATACAGCCAGCCCGGTTGTGGGATTCAGATCCAAGTCTAACTACCACTGTTCAGCGACTAAGCCAATGGTGGACTCAGAATCATTAAAACGTTAAATATCCTCATTTTCTTGAAGATCTTCAGTATTATTGCATTATCAATCAGAACTCATGTATCTAAAAATTCACGAGGAAATCAATTAGACGAAAACAACCACTATGTGGACGAATTGATTTAAGATTTAGGGTTTGTTGGTTTCTGAACATCTAAAAGCTGAAAATTACGCGAATACTTGAAAAAAATTCAGAACCTTATGCTTAAAATGCTATGTGGAAAATTAAATGAGGGTTAAAATATGCAAATAAATTCATCAATTATTTCAAAATATAAAAATATATTTAATATATATTTATTTCTCATTGCTTAAGACAGCCCTACATTTACCATCATTTTGAATTGCTACTCTAAGCTTATTTAGAGACCATTTCTTGAATTTTTTTCATTTTTACCTAAACTGCAAAGTTCATATGAAAGGAATTCATTAAGGTAAGAAAGGAAGGAAAAATTTAAGCCCAACCCAATTTTTATTTTAAATGATGTACGTTAAAATTAGATTTTTTAAATTACATACAATCTCATACTGCTTGTCTTTGCAAAAATCTCCTGAAGTCAAGTTTCTAAGCATTTCAGTTGTGAAATTACAGAGCATTAACTCTTTCTCTGTTTATAAACATATATTGAAAGTGGTTTAGGAAATACAAACATCAAATGCACAAAACAAACAGCCAGAACAGCCACAAGGATTTAAGTTAGGAGAGTGTAAAAATAAAAAAATATGGGGAGGTGGAGAGAACATACAGACAGAACGCCACGAAAGCCCAAATAACTGACCTTCTTCCTGAAGATGCATAGGCAGAATCTGGGCTATCAGTCCTGTGTCGTAGATTATATGGAAGCAATGCATCAGTTAAGAGGAAAGGTATTAGCTGTCAAAGAAAATTCCAAGTTAGTTAGAAAAGAAGCATTATTTTGTATTAAAACTGCCATGAAATAATATCAGATCAAGAGTCAAGAGAAAATTTCTGATCTCATTTATGTGAACTGAATGAATTTCACATCCCTAAAACAGAAAATTAAGTTCTCAATTTAAAATGTGCATGCAGTTTAAAATAAGACACCGAATCCAGTTCTTTCAGGAATTACAGCGAACTGGCAGTTTTAGAGAATCCAGAGCAGATGAATACTAAAATTTATAGCCAAGATCTGTATTTATCTAGACATCTGGAAAACTTTACTTGACATTGTGAGATTCTACTACATTAATTTTAATAATAAATGTCCCTTTGAATGTTTAACATTCAGCTGTCAATACATTTAAATTTTGTGAGTTTTGGCGACATGAGTTACTTCTAAAAAATTATATATCTAAGCCCTGCATTATCTGACTGAAAAAAGGGTTAGATTTCTTATTAGAGAGCTCCCAGAAATGGTACACAGTTATAAAATAATAAAAATTAAATGCAGCTATTCCAGCAAAAATCTGAAAAATTGTACAGGTGCTTGGTGTAATAGTGGTATGCATTAAGCAATGGACTGTGCAGAATTTAAAGTACCTTAGTTGCTTTTCTCTTCACTAAATAATTTTATATGGCTCGGAGAAGTGGTCTCAAACTGGCAGCTCACAGACTGCATAAGACACCCACCCCAAACCAATTTTCCACGGACCACAAAAATTTCTATAAATTAATGAGTATGACAAGAAGTTGAAAAAAAAAATTTTAAGATTTTAATGGTATGGAGTCCAATTTTATATTATTTTCATCACTAATAAAAACACAAGTGAGCAACACCCTAGATTTCTGATAGGAATAATCACTTTGTTTGGGAGTATTTGAGCATCCGCCCCTTTTAATTAATTAAAAATAAATAAGAACAAAGAGAAAAATAAACAGACTGACCAATGAGCATCTAAAATTTGTTATTATGGTTTTTAGTTAATTTTTTCTCAAACCTACATATTTTTTCAAAATGTAGCTGAAAGTTGTAGTAATAAAGAAGTTTATAATTACTTACAAATATACAAGTTTTTTCTGCATATATTGAAGAAAAATTTAATAAATAAAACAGAATATGCTATATATATATATGAAGTTATTATTATTCCTATTTGGAGAGTTTTCATAATTTGTGCATTTTTAGTTTGAATTAAAAGTTAGTGGTTAAAAGTAAGTTAGTTATTAGTGATTAATTGAACATATTAGAATTCTTTGAAATAAATGTCCCTTTGAATGTTTAACATTCAGCTGTCAATACATTTAAATTACGTTGTAGGATTCAAAAGTTCCCGACAACGTAAAAGTCTATAACGTAAAAGTTTTTTGCAGCAGTGCGACTACGAGAACGTTTCTGTGTAACTATGCTCTCCCTCTTTTCTAACAGTAGTTTGTCTCAAATCACGTGGTCGAAAGCTCATGACAAAAGCGTTTTTTGTAAGCAGGTGCATTTAGGTGCCGATACAAAAAAAATGACGTCAATTGAGCAGAGAATCAATAAAAAATTTTGTGTTCACTTGGGAAAGAGCGCTACGGAGAGTTTAAAATGTTGAAGCATGTGTTCGGATGTGAAACGTTATCTAGAATGCAAGCTTTTGAATGGTATCATCATTTCAGAGAAAGTAGGGAAAGTGCCGAAGACGCCGAACGCTGTGGCCGTCCTGTGACTTCATGCACCAATGAAAATATAAAAAAGTGTCTGCGGCAGTACGTGCAAACAATTTGCCAAATAGAACAATTAGTTGGTATATCAGAGGCCACATGTCAGCGGATACTGACTAAGGATCTTAACATGCATAGGATATGCCTACACATTGTTTCCCCGCATGCTAAACGTAGGCCAAAAGGAAATTCGAATGGAAATGGCTGGAGACTTAATCTCGGGTGTTGACAAAGATCCTTCCCTACTTGGCAGAATTGTTACTAGAGAAGAGTTTTTTTTTTTTTTTTTTTTTTTTGTTTTTTTTTTTTTTTTTTTTGTATTATTATTATTATTATTTGGGGGGGGGAGTTGACTCGCAAACCAAGAGAGTATCAACAACGTGGAAATCACCACAATCTCCACGGAAGCAGAAATTCTGCCAAGATCGCTCTAAAGGAAAGTCATGACAGAGGTATTTTTCGATAATCCTGGGCATTGTGCATCAGGAATTTATACCTGAAGGAAGTACTGTGAACAAAGAATTCTACATCCCTGCGACATTTGCCGGAGTAGATCCAGAAAAAGAGACCAAAAATGTGGGCTGAGCAGTCATGGGTGCTGTTGCATGAAAATGCTCTTGCTCACCGATCCCTATTCGTCAATGACTTTTTTAGAAAAACAAAAACAACTGTTTTGCCTTATCCTCCTTACTCACCTTATCTTGCACCCAGCAATTTCTTCTTATTTCCTGAACTGGCAAAACGCTTGAAGGGTCGTGGATTTCAATCTTCAGATGAAATTAAATGTGCATCACAGGCTGAATTAAAGGATATAGCCAAAAATGGATTTCCAGACATGTTTTGATAAACTTTGCAGGCGCTGACAAAAATGCGTTGTTTCACAAGGGTCTTACATCGAAGTAGGATGTGTTTCTGCAATTTAATTCATAATATAATTTTTTACGTTATAGACTCAGTCCAGGAACATCCGTACCTTGTATAAAGTGTAACCAATAGAAATTTCTCATAAAACAAGAAAATAAGTATAAATTTAAATTTTACATGACGGTGTATAAAGGTTTGACAATACATAATTTTATCTACTTCAGATTCATTTTATCTACTTCCATCTACTTCTTTTACAAAACAATGCAAAAGATCACAGTCTACATGAAATGCTTATCAAATGTTGTAACATATTCCTTTGACAAAGAGAAACCAATAACTTTCATGGAAGAAAAAAGATAATAGCATAATCAATAGAACTAACTCACTGAGGATGACAGTTCTAAAGTTAACTCACTGAGTGGCATGATTAATTTTATCTTATGAAATTTTTTATCAGACAATCTAGTTAACAGATGTTAAAATACAACTCTTTATTGATAATTCCAAAAATATCTTACCACGCAGCAGGTTAGTTAACTAATACAGTTATTTAACAATCTCTTCTATGGGAGGGAGAAATTAAATCCACAAGATTATGAAAATGACTTATTTGGAAAAGATGCTGTCAAGAAATTATTATATAAGTTAGACTTATTGAAGCTTGTATATTTTGCTGGAAGAGCAAAATGGATAGATAGACAAAAAGCCTCTGGATGGATAAATTTAGATTTGAACATTTTGACTTTAAAAAGGGGGTGGAGGCACCATATCAATTGGAAAGTAGAATGAAGAATATGCACACATTATTCTGAAACATAAAGGTAGCAAAGCCTTTTTAAGCATGAGCTGTTGCTAAAATAACCAGATAAAAATTATAGCAATCCAACATCCAATATTTCTGCAATCCTGGTATTCTGACACTCCTTTTTACCAACATTCCTGTCATAGGATAGTGCTGAAGCAGTCAAAAGTCTTCCTTCAAAAAATTCTTGATCCATGTTTTCAGAAAACAAAATTATTGAATGAATTGAAAGTGATAAAAAGAAACCAACTGTTTAAGAGTTAAGTGGTGACAATGTATTTCAAAGAGTTAACTTTAAGCATCAGTAGTGCAACTATTTTGAATTTTTGCGATAAAAACAAATTTTTCTTATAGCATTTATTATCAATGCAACCATGTTCTTTAGACAAATTTATAAACCTTTTCATTTTTTATAAATAAGTTTTTAAAAAAAGCACCAGTTTACATAACCCACCTTAAGTGACGACATATTTCAAAGAGCACTGAACCCACAGATAGCAAAAGAAACAGTGACAAAGAGGAAGATTCAACCAAGATCACTTGATTGGTAAAGTTTAAAAAATTTGGGAGGGGGACTAATACTGGAGGAATAAATCATATTCTATGGATTAATTTTCATAGTAAAAAAGTGAAATATACAAACCAAGTAGAAATTTGAATTTTACTTTAAAAACTTTATGCGCTGGCACTAATGATGACTTCAAAGCAAAATATTTATATACGTTATAGATATTTATTTACTACTAATTTTATTCATTAAATATGTTTGTGAAATTATTATATATGCAATTTTTTCATTCCTTAAAACATTTGAAAACCCCCCAAAAACAATTTTTCAGCATTAAGTAATTAGTCTAATAACATGCCATTTTTAAAAATCCAGCATAACTGAAGTCACGAACATTCTGGATTTCCTTATTTTTACTATACGCAAAAAAAAAAAAAAAAAAAAAAAAAACAAAAAAAAAAAAAAAAAAAAAAAAAAAAAAAAAAAAAAAAAAAAGAAAACAAAAAAAAGATTGGTTTTATTGCAGAAATGGATGTTTTCAGAAACCATAAAAGATATTTAATAAAATGAAAAGCAGAAAGAATGCTTCAAATCATGCATTTCCCCCCACAAGTCTCATAACTGCAATTTCATTTATAAAGTTTCGTACATCAAAACCTTCAAGATTTTAAATTTAAAATAATCTCAAGAAATACAATTTGGAAATAAATTTCAACAACATTAATCTGTCCAAGGCAGACTTCAAGTAGTAATAAATGTGGAACGAATTTAATAAAGGTTCTACAGAAAATGGGTGATAAAGACTATTCCAGACAGAATAACAAAGTTAAATCTAAAGTGAATCCTTTTTCTACTATTCTAATATATGCAAATAGTTCATTAAAAATAATGTTTCTATTTAATCTAAATGAAAATACATTTTTATTTATGATGGCACATATTTTTAATTAATTTTTACATAATCGTAAAAAATTTTAAATACTCCCGAAATCCAATCCTTTATAATGTATATAATGAAAGCAAACCTTGAATATGAGTTCTAAAGACTATTTTAAAAAGTGAAAATTTAAAAACAAAGCATGTGAGGCTCAAACATGAAACCTTTTTTTTTTTTTTAAATAAATATTCAGACTAATAAGCAACAACAGAAGGCACTCTCTAAATCTTGTAATGTATAAAGTAAATTACAAAGATATTTTCCATTAAATTTTGTTCAAGAGAATATTAGAAAGTTAAATCTAAGCTAATTTTATAATATCTAGAAATAATAAAGTTCAAAATTAACAGATGTTCAATTAAAAAAATGGCAAAAACCATTTTGGCATGCAAAAGATTTATTAAATGAAAAAGAAAGTATAATGCTTTAAATACAAAACGGAACTAAAATCTATATTCTTTAATTATATTATCAAAACAAGTATGTAAAGAGTAGAATAAACTCATATTTTGGATGCAATGCACAAACGCTTGAATAATGCAACTAGTATTTAAACTTCTGACATTTTTAGAAAATACACAATAAACTTACAGTTAAGTTTGTAACAGATGACAATCTGAAATTCTGCATATTGTTGGATGGAGTTCCAAAGTTTCTTAAGGGGCTTATGATAGTAGACACAGCTCTGCTAAGACCTCGTTTTGTAGGAGTTCGTCTCATGGATAAAGCTCTACCAAGCTTATCTCGAGTTTTGCTATAAAAAGAAAGTTTTGGTCAACACATTTCAAAAGCTAGTACAAAATACCAAACATAATGCAGTACTTTTTTAATGTATTTTATTGAAACAGTGTTGTTTTAAAAGACAAGAAAAAGAAAACTCGCTCAGAAATCTATGCTGTTGGCCCATCTAACATGCCAATTTTTCCACCTCTTATGCAGCCTCCTAATCTCACATATCCCCTTTATTTACCAATGAGTTTTTAGAGGGTGAGTTAGACATTGACTCACCCTCACCCATGTAAAGATCTCTTAATCTCTCCCGCATCCCATCCACACGTTTCAAATATGACAATCTAAGTTATTTAGTTCATAGTAAAATAATTATTTGTATAAAACTTATTCATAATATACTGTATTTAAAATGCAATTTTTCAGCATTTTTAATTATTTATTTAATAACATTTATAGCTTTTATCTCATGAACACCTTTAACAGATGTGTGTAGCATGCATAGCTAGTAACATTTTATTAACAAATTCACAAAATGAATGTTCATTTGAATCTAACTCATTTATAAGGTAAGGAGTGTCTGCATGCATGCAATGTCCCCCCCCCCCAGTGTTCCAATTAGAAATTTATTTTTCATATCTTTTAGACAAAAAGATATACCTCGTGAGATCCCCCCCCCAAAAAAAGAAGGTTATAAAAAATATTCACAGTTTAATTTGTCCCATATTATTTACCTTCAGACTAGATCTTAAGTCTAACCCTTTCATGCGGTCTCACAGAGGCAGGCCAGAATGAAGCACACTCACTTCCCAGTTGGCCCACCAGTGCGACCACATTTTCTCACTTCTTTGTTCACTTCTGCTTGTCATGTATTCATGGCAATTTTGCAATTTTTCAGAAACTAATATTTTTGGCATAAGATGGTGCTATATGTGCGCAGGATTTGAGATGCATGAAAAATGGAGAACACATGGTTTGAGATACATTTCTATACGTATTTTTTACTCAAAATGAGACAAAGATGACGCAGTTGGATTTTGATAATTTAACATGAAGCAAAAGGCATGTTCTCGACTCACAGGTTTTTTTTTATTGTTCTTATTGTGCTAGCTTTTTATTGTTTATACACATGTGGTATTAATGAATGGTATAAATTTTTTCCACCCCCTTGAGCGCTGGGTGTTTAGCACATGTGCTATTTAGTGACAAATATTATGCAAATTTTTTCCGCCTACGCATTTGGGTTTGTAGTGCAGTTTAATCAAGAAGTATACTTTCGGTACATAAAATGTGTACCGAAAGTAGTATGTTTTTGAGCGTTACTATGTCAAAGCATCAAAAATGTTTAACAGATTATGTGAATTAAAGTTATATCTGCAACTACTGGTTACATCTGTAATGACAATGCTTTGCTCCCACAAAAATCTTCCAAAAAGACAAATGAGCTATTATGAATGCAAGGATCTTTTTGGAAGATACAGGACTATGTGTAGATCCCGGCTTTGAAATTTCTCACACTAAAATGAATCTTAAATGTTTATTGTCAGTTTTATAATGTCATAAGTCACTAATAGGAAAATACTGAAAAAAAAATAATAATAGTAATGCACAAAACAACTTAAGAATGTGAAGTACATAAATAAAAATATATAAAGCATATACTGCATATATACTCTGCAGAACATTATAAACAATGAATTCATCTTTCATATTTGTGCCTTTCATCCATCTTATAATAAAGAATATGAAGTATTTTTGTTGAAAATTTTTGATCCAATAAAAAGATCTACCGTGATCAAAATTTCGCAGATTCTTTCAGAATAACCAATAACATTAAAAATTACAGAATTAAACTTTATAAATACTGAAAACAACATGAAATATATTAAATGTACGTAGAATGAAATCCCCCCAAGGTAATCTTCTAAAGTACCACATGGCTAAGACAACCATCTCCTAGTAATACCTTAAACACGACTATTGATTGTATTCAGTATCACAAATTGCAACATTTTAAAAAGTGGTCACTGAATTTCACTGCATTCAGATCAAGATTTATTTACCTAAAGGCTTTAGTGAGAACATTCCCAGAATTATCCGATGACTGCAGAGCTAAAAGGTGTGGATCCAGACTAGTCAGCAAGTTTTCCTAGATTTTTAAATACAATTTTAAATTCAAATGAAAAATGCTACAAATAAAAACATGACAATTGGAATATAATTAAATGAATATTAAAATTACATATTACTTGCTTCACATATAACTTATATAAACATTATATATACACCACTACATTTTAGTAAAGCAGTAAGATTTTAAAATTTTAACTAAAAGCAAAACTTAAATTTTTCCAAAATAGGAAATCGGAAAGAGTTAGGGAAAATGAACTCACTGCATCAGCTTTGCATACGCTGTTGGCAACTTGACGACATAAAGTACGCAGGAATGTGCTTTTACAGATATCATCATGAAGAATAAATGCATACAGGAGTTCTTTCAGTTCTTTACTTGACCAAGAAACAATTGCGAAGACATTTTTGCAATCTGAAAGGCCATTTAAACATTTCAATCCATTAAGAAATTTAAATTTAATTAATTTAGAAGGCATTTCTTCATTCATTAACATATAAAATAATATTCTAAATGCAATATTATTATATAAGTCTACTGTTATAAAAATATTGCGTTTAGAATATTAAGACTTATACATACTTGCCAACCTATGTCACTAAAAAATAAGGAGATTTTTTTAAGAAATTTGGGAGATTTTTCACAATGTTAAAAAGACTTTTTAAATGACGAAAATATAGTTTTTAATGAATTAACTTTAAATAGTAACTAATTCTTAAATGCAAGCAACACAAAAAGACCTTACACATAAAAAACATTTTTATTACTTGCATCGTTTAAGAAAACAACAACAACAAAAAAAAAAAAAAACACTTTAATCAGTTTTCGTACAAATCTTATAAACAGTGGCAGATTTTGCTTTCTTCAAGAAAGAAACTTCCTAATTTTGTTCATAGCAATTGCCACGTAGGCCTGCTTTTGCTAATACAAGTTTTTCTAATGTGTCATCACATTAGAAATCACATGAACATCGCATTTCTAATGTGTCATCATATTAGATCTAAATTTAGTCCTCGGTTTCGCAACACTGAAAATCCTCTCACACTCTGCATTACTATGGGAAACTGTCAAGATGGCCAACATAATTCTAGACAGTTCACTATATTTTAAAATTCCATCAGCATCTTTCAGTTTTCCAATTAAACTCCACTGGGTGTCAATCCTAGCTGATTTTATAACTTCATCCAAGTTTTCTAATTGTAAACTGCCGTTATGCAGCTGTTGGAACTGTTTCAATTTTTTCTTCCTTTTAGAACTCCTTTCAAGATAATAATAAATATCAAGAATGTGTTCATCCACATTTATTGGTAAAGAAGCTGCCCCTCTTTCAGCTGTGGCATAGTGGCAGGTTGTGCTCCATTAAAAAGGCAGAGAACAGACATTCTGCATTAATAACTTTTTGGTCCTTTGTTTCCAAAGAAAAATTTAATTTTTCATTTTTTTCAAAACAACTCATGTTGTCCTTGTGTTTTTGTGTACGCACATGTTTGAGAACATCCATGCGAAATCGAAAAATCGCAACGACGGGCGGTACACATTGCAAATTTATTTTTCCTTGAGGAAATAATGGAATGAAAGTCAACTGTGTACGATTTTTGAAACGTACACAAGTATTTCACCTTTCTCGCAGACATAAAAAAAGATAATTTCTAAAAATATTTCCTGAAGGCACGTGTTCTCACACAACTCAGGACAAAATGACCGAATTAACTAAAGAACATCCAAATAACAGCTTGCTTTGTCCTCATTGGCTAATCTATGCCAGATGACACGCAGTGGAGCACGATGCCCATTGGAGAACTGGAGAACAACGTTTCTGAATATGTATATGCTCTCACTCACAAAGAAGAATTTATTTAATTCGCAAGGTTTTGTTTTAGATATAATCTAGAGAAAATTTGATTGCTTTTCAGGCGTCCAAAATCACTTTTTTTTTGTTCATATAACAAAGTATTAAGCCAAGTTCCATAAAAATTGTGAGAAATTTTAAGAATAAGAAAAAGTTGGGAGAAATATATTGCAAATCAGGTTGGCGGGAGAGTGGTCGAAAATCAGGAGTCTCCCTAAATCGGGAGAGTTGGCAACTCTGCTTATATTTATATAAAAAGATATTTGTGCTAAATGAAACTTATAAATAATGAACCTCCAAAAGTAACTGACAAATTTTTAGTATATACTTTTATAAGTGATTATGTAATGAATGCAAGGTAGTAATTTTATTCTGGAAGACGGCAAAAAATTTGCAGGTCAGCAACAAAATAAATTGACTTATCCTCCCCTTCAGCTAAGACCTACACTTATTTTAAAAAGTGATAAAAGGTCGCAACATGAATTAACTAACGTGCAGCTGACTAATTTGTAACTGACAAAGCATAGAAGACATTAATTTGTAAAAGTTCTTTCTAAAGAAAAACCGGTTCATATTGGCATAACATTAAGAAGGAGATAATTACACACATTTCTAAATTAAAATATTTATCGTGTTTGAAAAATCCCAACAAATAATATGTATGTGATGACCCGAGTTTGACAAAACAAGCAACTTCTAAAAAAACATTTTTTATTTGCAAAAGTGATAAAACCATCGTCTGCTAATTACAGAGCTTAATGCAATTAATAATATTCATTTGTTATAATACTGCTTGACAGAATGATTTTTGACATTATATGGATGCTGCCAGAAATCAACATAAACATATTTTAAACTTTAGCTAGAACTCTTCAATTGTTTCATCCCTTAACTGCCTTATATGCAGAGATTTAAAATACTTGGACAAAACTTTAAAAACTGATAAAATAACATTAATAATGCATTTTTCATCATGCAATGCATATACATGTGTAAGTGATGAAGCAATAAGCATGAGTAGATATAAAAGTGAGAAAAAGATGTACAGAAAGAGACAAGTTACAAAATAAATTTTATTGAGCAAATTATAGAAGCTGCTGAAAAAGCAACTGCAAACATGAATATCAACAACAGCAACAATACAAATCCTAGCAATAAAGTAGTCAGAAGCCAATAGGGCTTAAAAGTAGATGTAGCCTAATAAGGATATAACAAATCAGGCAATGATTCCAGCCAAGTGATGGCAAAACCTTGATTAATCTGTTGTCCTTGGAATGTTGCATCCAAGGCATTCCGTACATGCACATTAAAATGGGATTGTGCTGCATCGTGTTGAAACCACATAATTTAATTCTTGTCAGTACATTAAGTAATTCTGTTGAGACTGTAAAAATATTAGATGTGTTCTTCTAATTAGCCAGGCTAGCCAAAATTATGGGCAAATCAAATAAATGATAATGGCTTATTACAGCCCAAACATTTGAGAAATACTGCTGGTGCGAAATTAGATGTGGTAATATGGATTACTAATTCTTTACACATGAAAATTATAATTAAAAATGTCCTCATGTGTATTTCTTAATAAATTTTTAAAAAAATCAGTTTGTAGTGCACCCCATTAAGAAGCCACTTAAAGAACTGAAAGAATTTATGAGAAGCTGGTAATCTGCAGATCTGAAGGCTTGCACTCTGCGCATGGTAGGGGAGCCACCACACTGTTTTTGGGCACATCTAATGAAATGGAAAATTTCTTGGGTGCTACATAAAGGTGATCTCTAAGCAAAATTTCTTCGTACTGCAAGGAAACATGATATCCTTATAGTCTTTGGATATCTTGTATCCTGCAAGATGTTGATAAATAAGTTTATTTTTGCATAGTTACTTGCAATCCCTCAAAGGTTTTACAATCTGGCCCAATTCCTGTATGAAAGAATTTCAGTACAGTTACTGATCTTTCTTTCCATTCCTATCAGTAGCTCCACATCTGCCCGCTCTGAATACGTAAAACGACCAATTCCTCAGGAAACCCCAGATAAAATAACGAGTACAAAAACCAGCACTTAAGCATGCCTTTTGTGGCAAGCACAATCTACTGCTTCATCACTTGAGTTATGCCCACACATTACATAAAGTAAATTGCTTGTTTAGATGTGTTCTGTTTTGCCCAAGAACTTTGAATCATCCTTTATTTTAATAAATGATAAGCAGCTCAAAAGAGGAAATTTGTAAACACTCAAATGTTTTCATCAGGAAATGCATCTTTATTATAACACAGGTTTAATTTTTGTCGACCTTGGCTAGTATTCAGCAGCCTAATGCTTGCAGCATTAGGAAGTGGTATAAACAATTCCAAGACCCAGGCTGTCTGTGTAAAAGAAAATCATCTGGCCAAATGTGGAATGCATCCAACAGAATTTCAGAGGTAGTCCACATAAACCCACTCATCATGTCAATAGGGAAGTTAACATTTCCGTAACAGTTGTATATTGTTTTTCAAACAAAACATGATTCATTTGCTGAAAGCTCTTCATACAGATGATAAAGAATAATGTGTGAAGTTTTACGAATACATCCTTCAGAATGTATCACAAGATTAAAATTTTTAACACACTTAGTGTTTAGTGACGAGGCTACTTTTCATCTAAATGGCAAGGTCAACTGCCACAATTTTAACATGAGGAATGAAGCAGATATATCAAACTGTATGGTATGAAAGAGACTCACCAAAATTTGATGATTCCCACCCACCCCACAAAAAAAGGTGTATATGGTCCCTTTTATTTCCTAGCAGCCATTGTTACAGGAAACATATCTCAGTATGCTGGAAAACTGGCTGGAAAGATTCAGCTAATTTCATTTTCCATTCTTCACCACGCTGGATCTTGGATTTTTGAGACTTTTTGAACAACTGCAATCCTTGGTGATGGATCAGCTTTTCGGAACCTGGTGGTTAGTTAAACATCACTGGTATCCAAGATTGCCAAGCCTCTCAGTGTAGATCTTCTTGCAAGGGTTTATAAAAAGACTCCATTTGTATCCAGCCATTTCCAGCTATGTTAGCCAAACTGAATATACACATTACAACAGACGGGGAAGCAGTTGGTACAGATATGCTTTCAAAAGTTTGAGATGAATTTGACTACTACATAGACATGACATGCATCCAAAGGTGGATATACTGTGCACTTTAATTTGGTTTATAAAAAAGATTATGATGAGCCATGTAATATAAAATTAATCTTAAGTTCCTATGTTCACTATTTTTGCTAGTATATGCATTTCAAATTGAATGATTCTTTTTGAAATACCCTATACTTTAGGAAACAAATCTGCAGATTTAAAGATCTTCAGCAGCATAACTGAACACAGATTATATCTCTATATACCTTATACAATTTAACAAATTAGTCTAAAAAATTAATTGTTACACACAAAAATGAGACATACCTTCAGTTTCGGTAATATCTACAACTCTCTTAATGTGAGATAAAGGTAATAAATCTAAATGCTTATAGCCTTTAGATTGTGGTTTCATTGTTCCCGATATGCTTACAACACCTGGACTCTTTAAGGATGAAGCTGCTTTATTTCTTTTCTTACAAATCTGAAATATCGGAAATTATGCTTCATTACTTAATTACATTCTCTGAAAAGATATGTATTTGAATAACTAGTACTTTTCCATAATGCACTTGCCACACATTTAGTACGGTGTTTTTTTAAACAATTTTTAGTTATAAGAACAGTTTACATATCGCAAAAAAATGCACTGGTGTATGGTAAGTGCATAACAGAAAAATATCAAATTACTTAGCACATATTACATAATGCAAAATAAAAATTAGTTTGAGTAGATCATAACAGATAGTTGTACCGTATACGCTAGCTAATATCTGCACTTTTTTACTAAAATGAAGGTGCAGACATTACACAAGTCATTCAAATGTTGTGCTTTTTCTTGCGAGTAATTTTGGGCGTAAATTTCATTTCAAACAGCCAAGTTAAGTTTTAAGTGGAAGAAAATGGCATAAATAATAAAAGTATCAAATGAAATTTACAAACACGCATTCTCCCATAAACATACATAACATAAATTATCTCATTTATGTTATCAACACTCGACACATATTAGTTCACACAGGAGCACAGAGGCACAAATTAGCCAACACTTGCAATTTTAATATTTACTTTTACATAAATTAAATAAACGTTGGTTCTTTTAATATCTTGTACACATTATTTTTAAAAAAATCTGTTCTGATTCACTGTATGATAATCCATTTCGTTTCATCATTCCCGCAACCAGTCTTCCTTCGTCTTAAATTGCAATGTAGGAATTTCTTCTCATGCGGCAGCAAGCGCTCTTATTTGGCACATTTCCCATGTTACTGCGTACTCTTGTGCACACATATCTCAAACATATGCAACTACTTTTTTCTGAAGTTCGGAAACTTAGATTTCAAAATACAAATCTTATTTTGTTCATTGCCGCCAGTTGATCACGCTGTTTACTCCAATTGCGCAAACACTTTTTGTCCACTTTATGTACACTTGCTACTGCGCTTTTTCCATTTTCTTGAAAAAGTTCTACGACTTTCAGTTTAAAAACTGCTGTATTTTCCCATTTCAAGCACACTACTTGCTAACTACCACAAATTCTAAATGATACTATGAATGAAAAGAGAAAGCTTGAAATATGTGAATACTCCAAGAAGGAAGGATTTGAAGTACAAAACAGTATTTCCTGGAAGCCAGTGTGGTGAAAACCTTTTTGGGCTGCCTTCATTTATTATCACGTCTGCCAAGTGGATTGCTGCCGCCGATATTATGACTGAATAACAACTGCACCAGAATGCAAGGAAAGTCTCTGCTTTCCATCCTGGTGCCAACCACAGACAAAACAAATGCATATTCTTTCTTTAAAGATGTTTATTGACTAAAGAAAAAGGCGAAGTTAAAAAGTATATTTTAAAGTAAGAAAATTTTTAGTTTTTGGAGTGCAGACATTGTGCGGGTCACTTTTTTTTGACATAAATTTTATCTACAAAGTTGGGGTGCGAATATTACACGAGTGGATATCATATACAAAAGATATAAAAAAAAGAAAGAATTCCCCCCCCCTCACACCAGAATGTTTTATTGAGGTTTTTTTTAGACTCTTGAACTCATTCCTGATAACACAACTTTGTCTTTTTAATTTTATTATGAAACATCGTTTTCTTTGCACTTGTGCCATATAAAATTCAACAGCAAAATAAGAACTTTTTTAAAAGCAGCATATGTTTAAAATTTCCAGTATAGCGTTAAGTGATACCATTAATTTTTTTCCAGTCTTTTCTCAATGTATCAGATCAATGTTTAGTTTTCATAGTATGATGATCTACACAACTTTTGGTTTTTTTAACTTTATTTATTAAACCTCACTTTCTTGCCATTTGCACCACATAAAATTCAATAGCAAAATATTTAAAAACAACATTTTTAAAATCCCTAATAGCTGTTAAATGTTTTTATATTCGCTATATTATTTCTTTAAAAATAACTTAAGTCAATAACACTTGGTGGTAATATCCTTTCACTTGAAATGTGATATGAACACAAAAGTGATACAGGTAAAGAGAAGATCAAGACTAACAATACCCCATGGTGCTAATAATATATAAATGTTTGCTGATAAAAATCAATAAAATTACAAGTCAGGTATTTTTTTACCCTTGCTGATAATATTTTGTTTTCACAATTTCATTTAATCTTAATTTAGTTCAGCATTTTTTCCCCTTATAAAATAAATGTAAACCAGAAACAAAAATCAAACTGATACACAGACAGCACTACTATTAAATAGAATTTCTGAATTCTTTCCACTCGCCATTTTAAATTTCAACAGATGTAACACAAATTTGATAACGACAATAACCATTACGCAAGCACTCATTACCCTCGTATTTTAACTAAATTTTAGCTCCAACAAAAAATAAATTAAAATGTGTATTAAAGCAAGCATACCTCTAAAACATCTGTGAAAAGGAACATTGTTATTGGCCCACCTTTCTTAAGCAACAAGTCAGTTATTTCTTGCATATCAGTTTTGGCAACTAATTTACGATGAGATGATAACAAGTTTGGCTAAAAAGAATAAGAAAACATGTATTGAAACAATACAACAGCTAAACAGTCAGATGTTATAATATGTCCACATTATTTTATTATACCTTACATAACATAACTACAATGGCTTTCCAACTTGGAAAGAATTCTTAATTTTATGAAATGCATGCATCCCACTAGCATATATAGAGTGATTCAAAACTACAAGAACAAACTAAGAGGGGTAGAGTACACCTAGATGACTCAGAATCCCATAGCATAACAAGAGGAGATGTTAGGGGCTGTCGCAGGAAAACCATAAACAGCCACCTGCAGAGGTATTGGAATGGAAAAATGTATGCATCGTGATTACAAATTGACATATAAAGATCATAAAAATAAGTCCCAACTTTTCTCAAGGTGCCAGAGATTTCATAACATGGCACAAGACATGGAATCTCGGATGTTTTCCAGGATTCGTACACATTTCTGCACATGGAAATTAAGTACTTTTAAGGACCATTAATGAAAAAAATTAAGGACATATGAACGAATAGGAACTGAATAAATTCAATTAAAAATATTGTATATCCCTGAACTTCACTTTTGTAATACCATCCTAAAAATAAAATGGATCCGTAAGTAGGATGAATTATTATTATTATTAAACATGACTTAATTAACATAATTATGAAGTTCGAGAATAAAATATATGAAATTGATCAAGCAGCATTATATATTTTACACTTATAAGAACTGAACATATTTGAAAGGAGGTAAGTGACATTTAGTACATTATATGTATAATCAGAGCTTAAACTCAGACGGAGATTGGCTGAGCTTCTCCTTAGCTTCTAAGTGGAAATTAACTTATTTTTAAGATAATTATAAGATGTAATAAAAAAAAAAAGAACTTGCATCATAATATCTTTTAGAGCTTGAATAGCTTTTCCCAGAGCTTCATGATCTGTACTGTTTTTACTTGTATGCTTCAAAGGAGGTAAATGACATTTTATTTACGTTTTACTAACAGTTTTATGTTGATTTTATTTTACATCTCATTTTGTCATACTCTTGCTCAGTCTAGAACTTTAGTAAATAGTAAGCAGATTTCATGTCAAGTGGCATAGGTTAAAATGAGAAGTAAAATCATAATTAGCATGATTCAAAACAAAAGACTGGCTGCTGCTTACCTGGAGAAATACCTACTGATCAGAACAAACCTGAAAGGTCTGATGTAGGCACGGTTGGGGCAAGTTCTGAAAATTAGCTGGGCTCTGTCTGATGCCGTTAATGTCGTAGCGTTGTGTAGAGTTCCAGGGATTGTGACTCAGTTAATATACTTTAAGGTTCTAATAAGCCACTAAAGCACCAGAGGTGATAAGTTGTTTTACATTATTTTAAGTCTCACTAGATGCGAAGAATAAGTTTTACATGAAATTTACATTTTGTGTTTTATCTTATGACTACGGTAAGGGTTAATGAAAGGCAATAACTTGCTTTAATATGCAGAGATAATTTTTAAGGGCAAGCAGTTAGTTTTAATTAATTAAATTTGGTATAAGACAACCTTAGTCATTATGGATTTACACGGCCACTATTAAATTTTATTTAATTTTTAACAATATTTATTAAAAAAAAGCCCTATTAAAATCCCAATCTAATAAAATTTCACAGTTTAAAACACATGTAATTTATGACTTTGATTCTTAAATGATATTTGGATAATTACACATTAAAAGCTACAAAACATTTATGTTTTGTAGCAACAATACTCAACAAAATATTTATGAGTCTTCTTAATTTGAAGCCTTCCCAGAGATTTTGGCTAATTTATATGGATTCCCTTCTCTTTAAGCACCTTTTCTAACAATTAGAAACTTGTCTCAATACACAAAAGAATGTTCTCACTAGTTTCTGCGTGTTTTTATCTCCTAACTTGTCAATCTGTCCACAATGTACCTATGAGGGTTTATTTGATCTGGTAAAAGTTAAATAGTCCAAAACACATCAACAGATATAAAGCAAATTATCACTATGTCTGAAAGTAACTACAGTGTCCAACAAAGATTTAAATAAAATTCTTATTTAAAAAGAACTTAAAAAATAAAGGCATGTTCTTATGCTAACAAAACAAAATGAATTACAGCTCGTAGTGATGTAATGAAACAAGAAAAGTCAAATTCAAACTAAAAATATGGATTAGTGGTCAAAGACTATATAATTTAATTTCATTTTAGGTTGACTCAATAACTCTATCATCATAACAAACTCAAATGTCGGCAACGGTAATCCAAGACAAATAATTACAAATTATCAGAGCTGGCAGGAACTAATGCAGGGAGCAAGTGGAGGTCAGAAACACACTCTTGTCTTGCATTCCAAAAATCTCGGTTTAAAAACTGTCTAAGTGATTTATTTGCATTCTGGTGAGAAAATGGAAATGGGAAATTTTCATTTTCTTACCAATTGTAAACAATTGGTGACATTGTAAACAATTGGGTAATTTAGATAATAATAACTGTACATATTTTTGAAGAATAATTTTGTTTTTCTTTATTCAGTTTCTTTCTTCTACATTTCCTTTTCATTTAAGAATTTTTGAATTTAATTAAAGATTTCTGATATTTTAAATAAACTAAATGCATTTAGAATGTATAGAAAAAGCTGCTAATTTTATTTCCTTAGTAATATGAATATTCAGAAGAAATATATAAGTAAGAGCTGATGTGGCATAATTTTTATAATTTAGTGACACACTGAGCAATAAATAATGTCTACAAATTGCAAAACTTTTAGAATTTAGAACAGGCATTGGAAGCAGAATTTAAGATCCACAGAAACTGCATCAGATGGGAAAATGCCTAGTGCCAGCCCTGTGTATGATGCATTAAGATATATTAGATGAATCTTTTAAATTGTCAGTTTTCAATATCTTTATTAATAAAAGAATTCCTTTCTATAATGCCTATCCATATAATAAGAAACATTTGATATTTTCCATGTTTGTGTCTAGTGAAAAGTAGAGAAAATAAAGGGAAGATTAAAATGTTAAGAAAAAGATTCTAGTAACAGAAGTAAAACATTCAACTATAATGTTTTCATTGTTCTTCTAGACATTCTCCAAAAAGAAAGAAATTACGTGTTAATACTACGGAGACATTTTTCATTTTGTCACATTTTTCTGGAATCTTCTAGAATCATGAGTCTATAAATCTTGCCTTCATATCTTTCTAAATTTTTCAAGCTGCAATGTCTAAAATCTTAAAAAACAATTACCCCTATCAATTCTGTAACAACATTCAGCCAGAAATATTGGGGGCGGGGCGGGGGGGGGGGACAGAGGAAAAAAGTGTAAAATTAATTTTATAGAGAAAAACGGCTTAATTTCTGAAATTAGATGCGCTGGAGCCCCGTCGAACACCGTCAGGAAAGAGGTACAAAAATAAATAAAAATGGCTAATAAAATCACTAATAATTAAAAAATTTAATATTAATTATTAAAATAATTCAATTAATAATTAAAGAATTAAATAGTTTAAATAAATAAAAACTTAAAATATGAAGAGATAAATTAAAATTTGATAAGCGATTTTTAATATAAGTTTATTACTAAAAAAAAAATTTCCGATATCAAATTTCTACTGAAATTTTGTTCAGGTACAAAAAAAAAAGTGTCACAGCTTTCTTATTTAGGGCTCTGAGCAGAATTATGATTTATCCCCAAAAGTAAGAAATACGGGAGCAGGGCTTGGGTGCAATACGAGCTCTGGAGAAAACTGATGTATATTTTGAGAATTCTGAATATTCTGAGACAATTACATGGGGAAAACTCTTACCATGAAAATATTAAAAATACATTTTTAATTAATTACATAGCTAGTTTGCTTTTGCTAAGAACTGTTTTGTACATGGTGCTTTATAGCATTATACCTTGCTTATTTTTTACATATAATGAATGGCCGAAATGGAACTTTATAATATCACAGTAAAAACGAAATTGCTTTATTTTAATCTTATCTCATAAATATAATTAAAAAATATTCCCATTATTTAAATGAAATTTATCAATGTTATAATGTTCTAAAAAAAACTGCCGAAAAATTCCTTGATCTCGGAATTAAATTTTTTTTATAGAAACAGATCTTTAAATCGCCAAAATGTTTTAAGTCGCCAAATTTAGAACAGCTTAATTAAAGAATTCCCATACCCAAAAGAGAAAAGTTGTTTAAGAGCTCTTCATTAAAAAAAAAAAATGAAAATTTCGAAATGCTTATGTTTCACTTCTTGATCAGAAACTCGAATATCCCACCATTTATATCAGAACTAAAAACAAATTATAACTCTTGAACCCATTCAAAAAGATAACCATATTTGTCAGCAAATTGCCAAAAATATTATTCCAAAATGTTAATTCACACTCAAAATGGCAGTCGTAAAAAAAGACAGAAATTTCAGACGATTAAAATTAAGGACTTTCTGATGATTTTTGCCAAAATTAAGGATTTTTAAGGACCAAAAAATCGATTCCAAAAAAACTAAGGACCATACGAACCTTGGTTTTCAAATGCACTGGGTGATTTGAATTGGTACATCTTCATGGCTGCTGCAAACATCTCAAAGATGCCCAACGTTTTTCAAAATGTCCAAAATTCTACAAGGTGCCCACATAATGAAACTTTAGGTAACTTCATTATCAGGAAAGTCATGACTTATTTTAAGCTTATGGTCTTTAAATGTCAGTTTATGATATGTATTCAAATTTTCCATTTTAATACCTTTGCAGGTGTCTGCAGATGGTTTTCTTGTGACAACCACTAACAAACCCCTCTGTCTCATTAGGATTGCATTTCTATTGGATTCCAAGTCATCTAAGTGTACCCCTACATCTCCTAGAAGTTTGTTCCTTTAATTTAGAATCACCTTGTATACAGCACAAAGTCCAAGATCCAAAATCACCAGGGCTATGGCAATTCTGTATTTTAGATCATCAGTTTAAATCTAATAAGATAACATGTAATACTGAGTCTTCAGTTACT